GGCTCTAGGGTTTAGGGTTTTTGGGTTTTAAGGTTTTAGGGTTTAGGGTTTAGGGCTTACATAGGGGTAAAACTCCTTAACTAGGATAGTCATGTTACAGGGTTCAGGATTTGGGATTTAGGTTTAGAGCCTAAACCCTGCCCTAAACCCTTAACCCTAAAACCTTAGAACTCTAAACCCTAAACCCTAAACACTAAAGCCTAAAACCCTAAACCCACCAACCTAAAACCCTAACCCTAGAGCCTAAAACCCTAAAGTCCCAAACCGTGAGTGTAAGGTTCCGGAGAGTTCCCCATCTTTGGATCCTCGGGTTGGCTTTTGGGTTTCGCAAGGAGGGTTTAGGGTTTAGGGTTTATAGGGCTTAGGGGCTTAGGGGTTTAGGGGTTTAGGGTTTTTGGGTGTAGGGGTTTCGGGTTTAGGGCTTAGGGGTTTAGGGGTGTAGGGTTTAGGCGTGTAGGGGTTTTGGGGTTTAGGGTTTAGGCGAGCCTCTGGATTCTAGTCTTCGGATTCCAAGGTTTTAGGGTCTTTAGGGGTTTAGGATTTAGTGCTTTTAGGGTTTAGGGTTTAGGAGGATTTAGTGTTTTAGGGTTTAGGGTTTAGGAGGATTTAGTGTTTCAGGGTTTAGGGTTTGCCGTGGAATAGCGCTCAAGTGACAGTGTCTTGCGACAAGGTTGTGTCGAGTGCATCGTATTATGGTAACGAGCTGCGAAAGCCTGTCTAGAGAGGGCTTTTTCCTTTTTTCTTTCCCACCCCACGCCGTCTAAGGCGGCCAGGCAAGGAGGCTTGAAGTGGAATTCTGCTTTGCTGGGATTTTGCGGCGGTTCCTGCCCAGCTCAGGGACTTCAGGGCTCAGCTTGGGGTTTTGGGTGATTAATGACTTTTTTGGGGCCCAGTGGCCGGCTTGGTACCCGAGGTGGTGCACGCGTGCAGCCGCGCCGGAATTTTGACGTGTTCCGGTACGGGGTACGATGTGGTTGCTACCGTCCCCATGGCTGTGGAGAACTGGCGCCGCCCACCCACAGTAGGGGTGGCCGGCCTATGCCCTGAGTTTAGGGCTTTAGGGTTTAGGGCTTAGAGTTCATCTGGGGTTTAGGGTTTTGGGGTTTAGAGTTCATTTAGGGTTTAAGGTTTTGGGTTTAGAGTTCATTTAGAATTTAGGGTTAGGGTTTAGGGTCTTCGGGTTTCGGGTTCAGCATTCAGAGTCTACGGATATTAAAGAGATTGCAGAGGGAAGAAGCGTCTATTTCCTTTGGTCTCCCTTCGAACAAATGCTGTAAACAACTGCTAAACTAAACGTCTGAACTCTTAGATCAGAAAAAATAACGGGTACTACTACACTGCTACATAACCGGGAGACTAACGCCTCTGAACTCGTCAAGTCCTGCACCATGCGGGTCTAGGGTCCAGGGTTTAGGGCTTTGGGTTGGTTTCCCTGGTACGGAAACCTAGACTTAAACTTTAAACCCAAAACCTAAACATCGAGGGAGAAGGCTCGAGCGAAGTGGCTCGCAACCACTGCAAACCCACTGCCAGACTAAGGCCATACATGAAAGTCTCTAATCCCTATAATCCCAAAACCCATAAACACCAGCAGTGCCCCCCATAACATCAAGGCCAAGAGCCTGAGACCCTAATTAGGGTCTCAGGCTCTTGGTCTTGATGCTATGGCGGGCACTTCAATCATGAACCGTCTGCCCGGACCCTAACTTCGATAATCCGGACGTTTGCTAATGTTGGAGGCCTGGTTAAACCGGTGGGACTCTGTCATGCGCTTTCTTGCATATTGAGGCCAGTACCAAAATTTGGGGGGTCTCTTGAATGCGTTTTGTTGTTGGTCGGCTGATGTCTGCTTATGGTCAATCTTGAGGCAACCACAATTAGTCCGCAAACCCGAAATGGCACATCCCTAAACCCTAAACCCTAAACCCTAAACCATCCCAAGCCAAGCCCCAAGTTTCTGAGAGTTATCGAAGCTCAAAACCTTTCCGGGACCCCAGCGACAGCGACGCCGGCGCCTCCTTCCGCTGGCCGCCCTGCTCCTGCTGCCACCAAGAAGACCCCCAAGCCTACAAGTGGAGATTAGTTTAGGGTTTAGGGGTTTGGGGGCTTCGGGGTTTAGGGGTTTAGGGTTTAGGGGTTTAGGGGTTTTGGGTTTCGGATTAGCAAAGAAAGGAACTGGCGATGGCTTTGGGGCTGACATTGTCTTAAAGACGAGGGGCGTAGTGGTTGGAAACCACATGTAAGGTGCTCGAGGCTATACACGAGCCTTCAGGTGCTTCTTTTTACTTCTTGTCCGAAGTAAGTCCGCTTTTTTTTGGCCGGGATTTGGCAGGCATGCGATCGCACACTTTGAAGCAACAAAAATACGTCTCGATGTTGTTGTAAGCGTGCTTGTAAGCGTGCAGAACATGTACAGACGGGGATAAGAAAAGAGTTGCTGTCCTCCTTCATGGCATGTAGCACAGTCAAGTTGAATGGATTACTGGGATCCAGTACGAACATGGCGTCGTGAAGTGCAGTGCTTGCTGCAGTAGCGCATTCAACCCCAAACCTTAAATCCTAAACTTCTAAACCCTAAACTTAAATCCTAAAACCCAAGCCTTATAACTCCTAAGCCCTAAACGTGACACTCTCTGCCCTCCCAATTCGAGTGGATCGTTTGCATTTTCGGTTGCAGCGGCTCGGAGGGTTCCTGGGTTCCTAATAGGGAAAACAAGGGGAAATGGATCTCTCTGATACCCTTAAGAGAGCTATATGGGATCCTTTAGGGAATCCAGTAAAGGGAGCTATATAATAAGGGATCCTTCAGGGATCTCTTAAGGGTAGTCCCTATAACCCTTTCCCCCGTGGTATCTACTAAGAGCAGGAAGCAGACGCGAATTGTCGCGAGAGCTGCCTGACCTCGCTCTGACCACCCTTTAGCAAGCTGCCTGCATCGGAACATGGGAACAGGATTCTGCAAATACTCCGGAATAGTGCCTGCAGTTCAGGGCAGCTGCTACAGACTAAGTAGTGGCGTGAATGGGCAGGATACTCGTGACCCGCCCCGCACTACAGTTACAGTCAGGGCTCAGAGCCTTGAGCCGGTGAAACTGTTGCAAAAAAAAAGCTTCGAGGGAAAATCCTGGAGTAGGTGTGACCTTCCGTTGCAGGACAGCTTGACACTTGTGGGACACGACGAATGATGGGAAGGGATCTTGGGTCTGTCCATGAAGGTCTCTTCACCTTCTACCTCGGATAACGAAGTCTGAGGGTGAGGTCGTTATTAATAAAGAGTCAAACCTCGATATGCTCTCTGCCGCTACTCTTTTGAGTCCGTTCGGCTGTGAGAGCTTCGGATTCCGGGCCTAGAAGCATCCGAGCACGCGGCCGAGGCCTGCGAGGTCTCACCACTCACAGGACCGCGGCTCCCGAAGCTCCTAGGCGTCGGAAGCGCTTGTTGAAGTTCGTGAAGACACCGGATTTGCAAAAGCTCTTGCAGAGCCGAGGCATTCATGGACCGCTTCTGAGAATTCTAGACCGCTGCAAGAAGCGAGAAGCTTCACGTAGTCCTCACCCATCCCTTCCATCGACGCATCGATCACATGGAAGGGCCGTTTGCAGACGACGAAGCGTTGCATCAACGAGAGCCACGACTCCTGACCAACAATGACAACCAGGTGCTGGAGACCCTCGTCACTGGTCTGAAAGTCGTCGATGGCACGGATGAAGTCGGTAAAAGTCTCGCTAGTCTCGACATTGGTCCAACCCGCACGATCACATTGCAATTCGAAAGCCAGTCGGCTGCAGACTTCTTCCACCGCGATTAAGATGCGAACGGACTTGTCGAACTGCACCAGTGAAGGAGCATGCTCAAACATGCTCAATGGCTGCGACAGGACCGATTTCTGTACACAGGCGTCCGACGACACCTCACCTCGGTTTGTCGATGCAGCATGTAAAGCCCACTCTAGTCTGAGTCAAAACGGCTGAGCACGGTCGATCGTGAGTTCGTCACAGCCAAGGTGAAACGTACTCCTCAACGGTATACATCTGAAACGGGATCTGAACCGTGTCGTGGCATGAGTCCGAAGCATGCTACATCCCAGCAAGCCAGCCTCAGACCTGGTTCACATTCTATCCCGCATAAAACATTATAAAAGCATGGATAGCCCTAAACCCCCCCTAAAGTAGGTAAAATAATGGCCCAAAACCTACAAAAGGCTGTTATTCTACATACTTTTGGGGTCCAGGTAGTACAATTCGGACTTCCCTCTTCTCACATCACCAAAAGCCCCCCCACAGAATCGAAATTGAGAGGACACCCTCATGAAAGCCGAATGAACTGAAAAAGCCCGAATCCAGCCCCTCGTAAGAAATGTATGCTTGGGAAAGAGAGCCAAGGCTACAAGGCCCCCAAAGCTCTGAGGATGTTTGAGGAATAGGACCTTACGCTCTACATTTTGATGCTTCAGGGTTTAGGGTTTCTGAAGTTGAGACCCTAGTTTAGAGAACCACTCTCACCCTGAACACTATAGCCCTGCATTTCACTGCCGCTTTTTTGTCGGCCGCGACAAACGACCTCGGAGTCCGCGCGCCGGCTCCACCTAGATGGGGTCATACGGATTTAGGGATGGGTTTGCAGGGTCATCATGCTGTGCTGAGGAGACCTTTGAGTCTGAGTCTGAGGTGCTGTCAACTTCTGTTTGATACAATTTACTCAAAGGCTTGAGCTCTAAGCTCCAGGATTTCGGGTGCGTCGGATAGTTCGTTCTCCGATGCCACCTGTGAATGGAAGCCGTGCACTCCTACAGGCGTGCAGATTCTGAACCTCGCAGAATGTCGACCATGATGTGGTTTGCTTTTCGTGCCTCGTAAGCAAACGACACATAGCACAGGCATGATTGAGCCAGCCCTGACTTCTAACATCTTCTAACCCCCCGCCGTACCCCATACAGGGGGGGCGCACTACATGCTGAAGAAACGCATGCCAGAAGTGGGCCGTTTCACACCCAAGCTCAAGACCCTGAGCTTTCCAAGCCCGAAAACCAAAGCAAAAACCCTAAATCTCCAATCCCACTTCCGAACACCCCAAATCCAAAAAAAAAAACCTAAATCCCCAATCCCACTTCCTAACACCCTCCTCCGCCGCCCCGGCCCCACAGCCACCCACACGCACACAGATTCTCGAAAACCTGTAGAGCCGCTGAGGTTTCTGTAACACCGCTCTCAAAAAAACACAAGCAACGAGGGTTTAGGGTTTTGCATCAGGTTTAGGGTTTAGGGTTTGAGGGGTTTAGGTGTTTAGGGTTTAGGGTTTGAGGGGTTTCTATTTAGGGTTTGAGGGGTTTAAGTGTTTAGGGTCTGAGGGGTTTAGGTGTTTAGGGCTTGAGGGTGTTTAGGGTTTAGGGTTTAGCAAACCGCCTAAGCCTTCCCTTTCAAGCCTAAACCCCCAAAAGTAGGTAAAATAATGGCCCAAAACCTCTAAAAGGCTAATATTTTACATACTTTACCTAAACCCTAAACCGCTAAACCCTAAGCCCTAAAACCTAAGCCCTAAAACCCTAAACCCTTTTTTGCCAAGGCCTGGCCCCCTGCCGCTGGCTCAAGGGCTTTAGCTGCTCGAGCGGTGGATGCCGGCTCCTCCCATGGGTTTAGGGTTTAAGGGCTTCGGGCTTAAGGGCTTTAGGGTGTAAGGCCTTCGGGCTTAAGGGTTTTGGGGCTTAATAGGTCTGGGAGCGAGGGCTTAAGGGTTGGTTTAAATTTTGGATGCCCCCACAGCTTGCAGATCTCGTCATCCGCGTGTTGAGACAAGGCCTTGGGGTGTGGACCATGTGCTCTGTTAAAACTGTCTAGATCCGAATGGGCAGTCGGTTGCTCTCAGCAGGTGATGTAAGAACTGACACCTCTCCACCAAACCGCAAAAGGCTCATGGGCTGCGACCGCAACTACAATGCCTGCTTACACTCCTACTCCTCCCATTGCTCCTGATAGCCTTCTTGTTGGCGTCTGTGCATCTGCAGTACTACTCCGCCACCAGAGTCTTTACAAGTCAGAAAAGAAATTCGAACCCCCCATCGCTACCGGAGACCCCTAAACGCTCAGATCCACACTTCTGAACTTCCCCAAATGCCTAAACGCCCGTGCCGGCCCTACGTAGTAGCATCCACTGCAAGATGCTTCATATACAAAGCCCAGATGGGATGCGCTGCAGATTGTTGACTAAACTCACTTGCACCGGGCCTCCATAACTAGAACAGGGTTTTGGGGGAACTATTCTACAGTTGCAGGGGCTAACCAGGGTACGGGGTTCCGGTCGTCCAACACACAAGAGCGGTCCTGAGCCATAAATCCAATGACAACGATCTCGAGTTTACGGTTTAGGGGTGACGGTTTCAGAGTGCAGGATTGAGGCATTAGGGTTTAGGGATTACGTTTTTAGATTGTGGAGTTTTTGTTGAAGGTTGTTGCGAGCAGACACCAAAGAGGTCACCAAAACAAAAACACCGCACTCTAAAACCGTAATCCCAAAACATTGAGCCCTATAAACCCTAATGTCTCAACCCTGCACTCTGAAACCGCAACCCCTAAACCCTATGAGCTCTAGATCGCTGTCAGAGTGTGGAGTTTAGGGATTATGGATCACGGCTTCGGGTTTGGATCTCATCCTCCTGGGGTTTGGATCTCATCCTCCTGGGGCTTCGATCTTATTCTACTGAAGACCGCACTATGTCCCAGAAATTTAGGGTTTAGGGTTTAGAGTTTTCGGGTTTTAGGGTTTAGGGATACTTCCGTAACAGCAACCATTGTGATACTGGCCCCGATGATAGCCACGGCACACTAGGAACTTGTACTAATGGTAGCAGTCGTCGTCGGCAGCGTCGCCGTTAGTAGTCTGGCAGTCTAGCAGTAGTAGAAGTCGTAGTCGTAGT